AAAGTTAAATATTTCTTTAAAACAAAGAGAAAATATGTATTATGAAAAATAAAACTTGCACAGATTTCAAAATCTTTTTTTTTTTTAACTAGTTAGATATTTATTTTAAAATTTGATCTACTAAATTAGCATTTTCCACCCACTCTGGGAGCAGAAACCTTCACAGGCTTTAGTCTTTTGCTTAGGTGCTGCCTTGTGCAAGCCTTAGCAGCAGCCATTGCTGTCTTTTTAGATGCTTGCTTAGCCTTTCTTGCTTCCTTGGGAGACCTGTTCTCTCTGAGCCTTTCTAAGTTTCGGTTTTTGGTTCCTCTTGGCCATCTTAACAGCAAGAGATGCACCAGGGATAGTCCTCTGGAATCTGACTGCATGGCAGGTCTTTTCTTTTGAGTTTCTTCCTACTGTCCTTTTTTGTGCTTTTTTCTGTAGAGAATAGTTCAGTTTATCTGCCAAGGATTCCTCTTGGAAAGGAATGCTGACTCACATTTTGCAGTAATAAATTGGAATACCTTCCCGTTGGTCCTGGCGTGGTGCCTCCTGTGTCCGGGATAGATCGTGTATCCACTGAAAATGCACAGCTTGATCTTCATGGCGGAGGGGCTCCCAGGGAAAAGGAAGGATGGCGAGGAGCTCAGAATCTTTTTGTAACCCCCAAAATTGGCAGTGTAATTCCATTTTTCCACGACTGTTTTGTTCTCTTATACATTTCCTCAAGCGTTCAGTTTTTCAATTTGCCAGAAGGTGTGTGTGCTTGCTAGAGAGAGACAAAAAGATGGAGAGTGAAAGTGAAAAAGCACCTCGTACGAGGCATGGTCACTCCCCAGCCCTTGCTCCTCTCCCGTCCCTTTTGCTTTGGGGCATGCACCACATATTCTCAGTGTGTGTTTCAAGTCACGGGTCTGGGGCTGAAGCATGCAGTCGGCCACGTGGAATCCAACAGCCTTAACCGACATGTCATCTGCTGGTCCTAAAGCGTCTTGTTTTCAACAACAAAAGTTAGAAGGCAGGCAAAGAAAAAGAAAAGTATGTTCTATACACAGAGAAGACAGTAAGCAAGATATTTAATGAAGATTTAAAAGCAAGATACTTAATGATGTTAAAAAAAATTAAGGAAAAGCCTTGCTTCAGAAAATAAAGATATGGTGACAATCGCACATTAGATGGAGAATATCAGTAGAGAGATGGATTAAACAAAGGAAACCAAAATTTTCACTGTTCTTATACAAGGGCACTTATATGAAGAGACTTCGAAATGTGAAAAAATGAATTAAAGTAAGAGTTGATTATGGTGCAAAATATTTTGAAATTCATGCATAATTTTTTCATAACAGGCACTTCGAAAAAAGCTTTTTTTTAAAAAAAGAATTATTTTATTTAACTTTTTATTTACCCGTTTACTTATTTATTTTAATTTGACCAAAGAGGGACAGAGAGAGAGAAAGAGTAAGAAAGCAAGCTTCCAGGTCCAAGACTTGAACCACGGTCAGCCATGTGGGAGTCTAGCACCCTTAACCACCATGCCACCTGCTGGCTCCTAAAACAAACTTTTTAAGATCTTTTATACTGTAGTAGCATTGAGTACTGATCCAGTCATCTTCCGGTCTTATTTTTATTGCTATTTACTTGTTTATTTGTGTAGTGACTTACATGGACCATTTTAGGAAAGTCTACTTCCCCCTAAATTAGAGACCGCTGAGATAGCTACTCAGAGGGTCAGCTCAGGGCACATGCATAGTCACTCTGTGATGATGATGGTTTTAGAAGATTCTATTTGACATTATCTCTCCCCATCTCCCTCTAAGGCTATCTGCTTTGGTTGGTGTCAGACCCAGCTGCTGGCCTCTGTTAATGACAGTTCATGGCTCTATGGCTTTCAGTGTTTTTATCCCACGGTCATGGACTGAGTGTTCGTGCTCCATTTATATGTTGAAATCCTGACCCCAATGGGGTGGTATTAGGACTGAAGTCTTTGGGAGGCATTTAGGTCCTAAGGGGATGCCCTAATGAATGGAATCTATGCCCTTAAAAATGACATCCCAAAACTCTCGCCTCTTTTTTTAAGCTATGTGAGGGTATAACCGAAAAAAAAAAGGCCATTAATAAATGAGAAAGTGAGCTCTTTGGATTCAAAATCTACCGTATAGGAGGATATAACCGAAAAAAAAAAGGCCATTTATAAATGAGAAAGTGAGCTCTTTGGATTCCAAATCTTCCTTGGACTCCCCAACTGTGAGAGAGAGCTGTTTATTGTTTAAGCACCCAGTCTGTGGTAGGTTTGTTATAGCAGTCCAGGCTAAGGCACCTGCTATTCCTGGGGCAGACCCTCCACTGTATGAGTGCAGGCTGGGTGAAGGGAGGGGATCCGGACCTCTTGGTAGCAATCACCAAGAATTTAGTGCCATCACTGCTTGGATGTGAAGTGACAAGAAATGCTGGTGGCCTGCCTATTTTTGTGAGACAATACATTCCTTTATTGCAAGCTACTAAGTGGAGAAGAGGCGGCATCTTCTTGCTCTTACCCACCGTGCATTGAACTTCTGTTCTACTGGCCCGTGGTAGGGGAGAGTGAGGAAATGCACTGAGACTCCAGTGCCACAGGTTTCTTGGAGCCTCCTCCCCCGTCCCCTACCCCCCAAGATTTAGCATATTTTCTTGAAGAAATATTTCAGTCTGTCCTTAGGAAAATTGCCAGAATTTAAACACATATTTTAAAATAATTTTAACAGTTATACTTGTTTTGCTGGGAAATACTCAGAGCTCTCCACACGGCCATTATGGAAGTGCAGGTGCTGTGATGAGCGTTGACGCCTGCTGGCTGTGTGCTGCCCAGTGCTAGCTCACTGACTCCTCACAAGGACCCTGCGAGCTGGATTGTTGTGAACCTCGTTGTGATGATCACACGGAGACTTGGTTACATCGTTGCACGAGGTTACACAGCTAGCGAGTACTGGAGCCTCAAGTGGAACCAGAGTCTCTCTGACTTCA